TTCTTCATAGAAATGGACATTATGGCTGTACGAGGCAGATTTAAGTAATCGCTTTTAGAAAAATTATAAAAACCATAAAGGAGTTGTGCAGTTAACAAAATATGACTTTACATATGAAAATTTAATTTTGGCTTCTTATTGCCTAATATTTGGAATTTTTTGTTATGCAAAACTCCAATCCAGCTATTGGGGTTATCAGTTTTATGATACAAGTAATTAATTGGTTATGTATTGCAAAATTAGTGAAGAGGAGGAGAAAAACTTGATTTTTTTAAGGGGTAATAACATATAAGGGCAATTTGTTGGGTTTAATATCAATAAAAGTAATATATTTAAAAAAAATTCAAAAATAGGTTAACTTTTTAAAAATAATATCAATAAAGGGCAAAAATATTGTTCACCTTCTTCTTCTTGCCATTTGTTCACCAGAGCCGCCGCCCGCCACCGCCTCCACCCACCTCCGCCTCCGTCTCCGGTAATATTGCCGGAGGTGGCTAGAGGCAAAGGTGGCGGCAACGACAGCGGCACTGGTGGTTTCTCTGTCCAACGCCGCCACCTCCGCCCACCTCCGCCTCCGCCTCTGGCAACGTTGCCGGAGATGGGTGGAGACAGAGGTGGCGGCGGCGGCGGGCAAAGGAATGACCACCAACGCCGCCGCCGCCACCTCTGCCTCCAACCACCTCCGGCAACGTTACTGAAGACGGAGGCAGAGGCGGCAGTGGGCAGAGGCGGGCGGCGATGGGTGGCAATGGGCGGCAACTTTGGTGAACAAATGGCAAGAAGAAGATGATGAACAGTGTTTTTGCCCTTTATTGATATTATTTTTAAAAAGTTAACCTATTTTTAAATTTTTTTTAAATATATTACTTTTACTAATATTAAACTCCAAAAGTTGCCCTTATATGCTAAAAACCCTTTTTTCAATAAATTATTATGGCCCACCATCCTTTCTACATATTTATCTTACACAACCAAACAAATGAGATGACTGCTTTCAACCAAATAGTCTTCTCATCTCTTTCATGGTTGCCGCCACCCTATGCCCAAGTGGAGCTTTAGGGGGTGTTTTGTAATATGTACCATGGTTTTTAAAAATGAACTAGAAACAGAGCCGGTCAGGGGACCGGTTTCCAGTTAAGCGGTTCAACCGTCTGGGTTGAATGGTTCAACCTGTGACATCATAAATAAATTAAAAATAAAAATATATTTGTAAATAATAAAAATAACATAAAATTAAATAAGAAACAAAAGACAAAGAAAATAAAACTATCTAAATAAAAAATAATATAGTACAAAACACATAGAAAATATAAAAATAAAATATAGAAAATTTCTAAAAATACAGAAAAAAAAAACACAAAGAAGTTCAAAAAATACAGAAAAAAATAGCTTGAAATAAACCCATAATATCTATAAATAAACCCTTAAATCTCCATGTAAAAATCAGTGCTCACTAACCAAGGGAATGTAAAAACCATGATTTTGGGTTGTGAGAGATGTTTGGCTGAAGATTCTTCATTCGTGAAACGAAAGGCCCCTTTAAGGAGGAGGAAATTGATTTATTGAGAACAAAGATTTTGTAGCAAGACAAGTAGCCTGAAGAGACAAACCGGAGCAAGCTAAAGAAGACAAGTGAAAGAAGACAAACTCACTAACCAATTCTTCATCGTCTTTTTTCTTAGCAAGGCAGCAAGGCACTTAAACCAGAAGTCGCCCAACTTGGTCTGGTGTTTTTCCAAAAGAAGAAAAAAAAAAGAGAGATAAACAAGCTACAAACTCGCGAGTTTGGGTTGTGAGAGACTCGTCATTCGCCGCTGCAAGTCGGCTGCCATTGCAAACTCGCCTGCTGCAACTCTTACTACTAGAGCCTGGAACTTTGGAAGTGCTACAAAATATGTTGGCCGCCGCTGAAAACTCGCCGTCGCCAATAGATGTTAATCGTCATTGGTCAGTGTGTGTCGTTGTTGGACACCGTCAATTGGGTGTGAGGGTTGAGAGGAGGGAAGGGTTAGAATGAAAATGGGGTTCTAACCCTAAAGGGCCTTAAACATTTGATTTTGATTTGGGAATATTCTAGTCATTTTATTTTTTGTTTTTTATTTAAAATAGTGAAAATAAAAAAGGATAACCCACGAATTGCTACTCGAGTCAAACGTTTTAGCGGCCCGACCGCCCGGGTCAGTGGTTTCCTGACTTTTTCAACGTTTTTTAGAAATTTCTAGTTTCTAGTATAACTGGACCCGAGGGGCTGACTGGTTACTGGTTTTCCAGTCCGACCGTCCGGTCCAGTCCAATTTTGAAAACCATGATCTGTACTATGGTCTATGGACCAACCCTTTCGGTGTTTGTTTGACATTGTTGCATTGATTGATCCACACTATACGTCTATACCATGGATCGATTTACACTATCTCGCATTTTATTCTCCATGTTAATATCCTGAATCGATCCGTGAAATTGTGGTTATCTATCCAAAAACTATTGCCATGCTTCTCATCTACCTTAGGCTACGTTTGGAAACGATGCAAATATGTAGAGTGTAAAACGGTTCATATAAATTGTAAAGTTGGATTAGTTTTGCACTAACAATTTTACCTTCTTACCAAACAAACTTTTAGATGTAATGGATGCAAACACCTATTCCAATAAAGCATATGCTTTTTTTATCAAAAGCCCACTTAAATGCAGATTTATTTCTTTTTTATTGATGTACTTTTACATCTTATTATCAATGTAAATATGTATTGGTCTGTCATTTGTTAATGCATAAAATGTAATGTTGCCAAACACAGGCAAAAGTGAACTAGAGTGTAAATTTATCCTGAACCGGGATTTACACTCCATTTGCATCATTTCCAAATGCAGCATTAGTGTTTTACCATTAGAGAAATCATCTTCAAGCTTTTGTTGATGAGAGAAGCCTATAGTTAGGGATGCAAATGGATCGGATCTGATTCGAATCAGGGTATATCCAATCTAATCCGATCAGATCTCAGAAGTATGGATTCGAATTCAAATCCAATGAAGAAGTCATATTTTCAGTTCTGATCCAATCCTATTCAAATTTATTAAAAAATCAATAAATTATTAAAATAAAAATAAAATATAATATTTTAAAAAGAAAAACAAAAAATACAAGTATCTTTTCAACTATTTTCATCATATATATACATGTTTTTATAAAAAATCATTAATATAGAAATTTAAAAAAATACAATATAAATAATATATTTATAAATAAATTAATGACATATATTATTTTGTATGTATTTACACTGTACATATATGTATTTGTACTCCTTCCAGACTAAGCCTTTGGAAGGAATTCAAATGCAAATATGCAGAGTGCAAAACCTTACATCATATACTCCATCCAAACATATGCAGCTACGAGTTTCATCCCATGGGTAGAGGTGTCCATGAAAAACCGAAAAATGGAAAACACCGAACCGAATCGAGAAAATTGAATCACAAAATGTAGTTAACCGAACCGGCTAGTATATATAATTATATGTATATTTTATATATATTTTTAATATATGTCATATTTTATATATATTATATATAAATATATATATATATATACTTATATTATATTTATAGTAATCTATGTATAAATATATTATATATTATATATTTATAATATATTATATATCATTTATTATTTATAATATATTATTATATATATTTATATAATATATATTATTAATATAAAAAATCAAAAAACCGAAGAACCGAACCGGTCAAAAACCGAAACTGATGGATCGGTTAACTAGTGGGACCAGTTCAATTTCGATTTGGAGAAATAAAAAAAAAAAAAAAAACAGATACACCAGTTTGATTTACAAAAAAAAAAAAAATGCCATAATTTAATTAACCGAACCGTGAACACCCCTACCCATGGGTCAGATTAAACGATAAACTTGGCTTTAACCTAACCCGGGGTCGGGAGAGAAATGAAAGCTGTGTGGGCCTTGATTTATTGCTTAATTCATCCGCATGCAGGCGAATGGATGAAAATATAGGTTCCTTTCAGATTCAGCTATTAAACAAATTAATAAATTAAGATATGAGCTTAATTTATTAATAAATTAATATATGTGCATTCTAAATTAATTAATGTACAATTTTTGCCTTCGAGGAAATTTTAAAATCCAAAGGTGTGTACAGATGCTCCATTGAATCATCATCTTACTAAAAGCAGATTCCCTATGTTACAGTCCTTTTCATTGCGATATATATGGTCTGAAGACTCTGAACTGTGAATGAATCCAAAATTCTAGGATTTCAGTGGATTTACGTTGAATTTTAGCCAAATTTTACACAAAGAAATGCTAAATTTTGATCATTTCAGAAATCTTGCAGTATTTTTTCAAAAGAAAAAAATAAAAAGAGGAAAGAAACCTTGGAATAGTATAAAACTAGAGCAATGCTAGTTTTATATTATTTCCATGGTTTAAAGTATCGATAAATAGATGTATTGGGTGTTTCGATTCTTTCTAACTTTTTTTTCTAATTTTTTTTCAAAAATGTTATAGGGGGTCGTTTTAGGCTTGCCTATTCCCTGAAAATGCCAAAATTTTAAAACACCCTTTATTTACAATTTCGAAAAACTCATTTATTTTCTGCTGAACATCGATAGTTGCCCATCTTTGGTTATCATTTGTCAAATACAAGTGTAAATTAGTATATACGTGTAGTTCTAAGGTTGTAAAAGTATCAAGCTCTGTAAAAATACATTATTTCTGTTATTGCTATTGCTTAAAAGCTACGATGAAAGTACATCATTTCATGCACTTTAGCTTTTCTTCACGCTTATTTGCACTACTTTATGACATAAATTGGTTTGTATCATTTCATGCACTTTTGCCTTCTTCACGCTATCATCTAGTCATCTGCACTACTTTATGCAAATTAAATTGTTTTTTGTCGATCTTATAAAACCCATTTCGCTTTCACGATACTTGCATCTTTTTCTCTTATTTTCTTCCAATGGAGGTTACTAATTTTTCTCTTCTGTTTTAATTTGTAGTTGGCAATTTGCTAGCTTTAGCCAATAATGTTTGGTTTTGGTTTGTCCTATGTTCTTCAGATGATCGTGCTGAAGGTACGTCTCCATTGCAAAGCTTGCGAAAAGGCCGTCCGCAAGGCCTTGTGGAAGATCAAAGGTTTTTCTACGTGACCAGCTGATAGATATTTAGCACTATGTTTGGTGAAAAATCAGAAAGCTGAAAAAAATATATACTGAAGTCTTCCCAAATGGGACGTTTGTTTTATTTTTCAAAGAGCTCGGATTGAAATTGAGAACATGGAACCCGAAGCTGATTGGAGATATTCTTGATGTACAGCTGGAACATGTTGTGAGGTCGATCAGTGTGAGGAACAGATCTGAACTCCCTTGGGATACCTGTTGAAAGGGCCCATTTGGGAGGATAAACTGAAGATTCAGCTAAGCTGGTTGCATTGCTTTAAAGTGACTCGGGATCTACTACCCACAAGTTGTTCCCACATATATCCATACCCACAGAGTACCACCACCATGTATAGGGAACATCTCCCCATGAATGACAAGGAAAATTCCCAATGTGCAGTTGTCATGTCTCGTGGTGGGTAGCAGCAGCACTCCAAATAGACCATTTAAACAGCTCAAGCGGACACCCCTTCAAATAATTGGTTGGCAGCCTATTTGGGTTTTCTGGATTTTTTGATTTTTCGCCAAATATAACTTATAGGCTATGCATATGAGACCCATTCTGGAAAGCCAGAAGCTGATGTACTAGAAAAATTTTAGGTTCAAGTTAGATATGCATAATTTTCAACTTCATCCAAAAACAAACAGTGCAATTGAAACCATTGTTTTACAAATTGCGCTGGGATTTTTGCAATCAAATTTCTGGGTTGAAAAGCTTATTCTGAAGCAGCGGTTGAATGGGTTTTCATTTACAATTTTCAGGGGTGAAATGCGTGGAAATGGATGTGATAACGAGCAAGATCACGGTTTTGGGTTATGTTGACAGCAAGGTGGTGATAAAAGCCATTCGCAAGACTGGAAGGAGAGCTGAGGTGTGGCCTTCGTCGTCTCGCCGGGCGGATTCCGTCCGTTCTGAACCAAATGTCGCTACGTGGGTGTACCAGTTTTGATTCCTGGTTAAGATAATTCCCCATCGGCCAAGTGGTGGCCCATCAATTAGAATGACACTGTTTGTTTGTGGTATAAATCTGAATCTGTTACAAACTATTATTTACACTCTTACCTTAAAAAAAGTCCTATACAAAACTTGTTTTTGTCTCATTTGCAATCATTAATTAGCAGTGGATATTTTGCATGGTTTTCAAAATCGGATCGGATTTAGGTGATTGGTCAAAACCATTATTTCATCAAAAATCGTTGATTTGGTCAATAAACCACTGACCCGGCCGGTCAAATTATTCAAACCATTCAACGGTTTTAGTGATTTTTATTTTTATTTTTAATTTTTCTATTTTTTGTCAAAATGGGCAGTCCATTCGGTTCAAACGGTCAAACTGTTTGACCCAGGAACCAGACCCTTGACCGATTCGGTTTTAAAAAATTTGATATTTTGTTTCTAAAAACTGAGAGCAAATTTTGCATCAATTCTCTAGTAGGTACCTCAATTTTCTTTTACTAGTAAATAGTGTACACGTGTGACAATTTTTAATGATGATGATAATTATGATATTAAATAATATGTTTCTAAATTTTTTTATAATTTTATTCTTATTTATCACACTTATTTTTGTTTAATATGATAAATATACAATATTAAAAATGTGTCCAAATGTCTTCTACAATTTTTTTGTATTTTTTATATTTTGTTTGTTTTCATCTTTTTAAATTTTTATTATTATTTAATTATGACATCAAGGGTTTACACATTTAACCTGAAATATTGAATCGTTGACTTGTTACCAAATAATAAAACAACCCGGTTTTGGATTGATTTCAAATTTAATTTATCACCAATAAAAACAATTATTCTTTGCCACACTTAGTTTTTTAATATGGTCAATTAATATACGAGTTGATGAATGAGAGTTAATACCCTAAATATGAGACTTAATGAGAGTAAATTGAACGAAGAGAAATGTAATAATTCAAATTACATGTTACGCTTACAATTGGAGATACCAAATTCAAAAATAGGGGTATTCTAGTCAAGAATAAGATTCAATGAATGTTATTAAGAGTTAATACAAGACTTAATGAAATAAAACTGAATGAGGATAGTTCAAATTACATATTATACCCTTACAATTGAAGAAACAAAATTCAAAAATAGGAGTATTTTAATCAAGAATAAGATTCAATGAATATTATTGGGAGTTAATACAAGGTTGAATGAGAATTATTTGAATGAGAAAAAAAGTAATTATTCAAATTACATTTTTGTTTTTACAAGGAAAGAATGACCAAATTAAAAAATTGGGGTATTTTAGTTAAACAAAAAATTTAACATTTTCATTCACACCTTTAATAGTAGTATAGATATAGGCTTAATTCGTTTTTCATAAAGTCATTTACCTAAGTGGCATTTGACAAGTCTTTCTAGGTGGTCTGTTAGGTTTCAACAAGCACGGAAGACCGAAAATTTTTCTTTTTGATAACCAAAAGTTGATAAAACAAGAATATACATGCACATAAAGGCCCGAAAAGACCAAATATGTCAACTTTTGGAAAGCTTCAAATGAAATTATTTGGTCTTTCCGTGTGATAAATAACTTCCAAATGCATTTTTAAAAGCCTGATAAACTTAGTCATGTGCCAAACAGTCTTTATCTCTAAAGATGAACCCAAAAAAGACTTGCCAAACAGCACCCTGGATAAATGCACTGCACCCTGGATAAATGCACTTGACCAAACAAATGTTTTTTTTTTTTTTCTAAGTAGAATTAAACATCGCTCTTTTATCCATGAAAGTGTCATTATATCAGGGGAATGTTGTCCTCACACCGGCCTCACATGCATTGAGAATATCTCCGGTGAATAATACCATATAAATACGAAAGATGTTCATGTGCCTGTGAGGTCGGTGTGAGACGCCCTGTGTGAGGAGCAGATCCGATCTCAATACTTAGATAACTGAGCCACGAGATTCACTAATGCCGAAGCACGGGTGAATTGGTCAACTCTCATGCTAAACAAATTACCAGCTCCCATTTACAACAAAGCCATAAAATGATGACCAGTTGACCACCTCATCTTGCTTCCTTCCACACTCTCAAACCAAAATCCCACCTATTTCTATTCTCTTTGATATAAAGTGGTGGGGACCACTTTATGCTAAACAAGGTGAAAAAATGAAACACCAGAAAGAATCAAGAAAGTGAAATTCCTCATAAATTGGAAGCTAAAACATCACAGAATTGTCAACAAAACAAGGAACATAAACAAAACCAAATTAACCTTGTTTCGGAGGCACCCAGTTCTCTGCTCACTACCTCCAGTATAAGGTTGGATCATGGTCGCAAATTTACAATTTCCTGTTGATGGATCTGCTTTTGTGATCATTGAAAGTTGATTTGGAAATTTGCAGGCACCTTCAAGCTGATTATTCTTCTGGTAATAGTTGTTAAATGCATATGAAATGTTCCCGCGTGCATCCAATTCTGCACATGAAGTTCCATAGCCAAGGCTAGTGCAGTCACCTAATGAGCATGCATAGCTCACACTGGGCGCCACTTGTGGATCATCGAGGCTGACCGAGGGTGACATAACACACCACTTCTTTTCCAGATACTGGACGTTCTTAGCAGGAACCAAGGCTCCAGAGTTTGTCGTCCTAAGATTAATCTGGTACTTAGGCAACCCATCATAGTAAAATATTCCCCAATGCCGCTCAAAATTGCCTGGTGCGATGCTCTTGGCATCCTCATCAATCAAGCTAAATAGGTAGGCGTCAACAGGCCCTGGTCTCATTGGTGTCCCTTTTCCAGCTGATATGTGATCCATGAATCCCTGGTTGAACTTCTGGGCATATCCCAGGTTTGCATTCTTGTCTCCATCAGTAGGCCAGCCAATTTCTCCAACTACGACGGGTAAATTACCATACCCATTCTTCTGCAGGGCCCATACAAGGGTGTCAAGGTTTGCATCGAACATGTTGTAGTAGGCATTCCCATTATCATTTACACGGGCAGAGTCGCTGTCGAAGAAGGCATAGTCCACAGGGAAGGCAGAGTCCGTATAGAGGCCCAAGAAGGGGTAGATGTTGACAGTGAAAGGACCTCCATTATCACTCAAGAACTTCACAATGGTGAGCATCAGGTCATGGATATCAGTCCGGAAATCCCCACCTGAGGGCGCCCCAGTTGAGCTTTGGTATACATCAGCATTCAGAGGGACAGTGGCCTTCACCTGGTTGCTCAGGCCAGCTTTTATGAGGGCTGACTGGATGTTTTGGAGAGCAGGGAAGGTTGTTGTAAGGAAGCTGCCATTGTATGTCTGTAGGAAAGGTTCATTTCCAACTGCAACATACCTTTGAAAGCAAACAGAAAGACTAGGAGGTAAGGAGAGGATTAAAAACAACATTTCATAGTAAAAAGATCAAGAACATCATATTCAAATCATCAGAATAGAAATTTATTCCAGGTGTTCACCTGTAGAGAGAAAAGACAGAACAAATAGGGAAAAGTTGCTACTTTTCCACCACAAATCAATGTTCAGATATAGCACCAAGATCTTTGAGTTGAGGTGGGATATGACAGAACCAATGGTCATGAAGCAGTATAGCATCATTTTAGATGACATCGTAACCCTGACAACATTACCTGAAGCCCATACTTAGAGGGGTTCCCTTGACTAATTGGTCTTCTTAACGCCAAAACGAGGTCCAACAAAATGATCACAGACGAGCCCTTCTACTCACAATACAGTCTAAATAATAAGAACAATTAGGCCATTAACCATTGTTTGCCCTGGCTCTGGGGTCTTGGAAGGGGTAGAATGGACAAGGGGCCCACCTATGCCATTTTTTGCAAAGTGGCTGTTCTCAGAACCGAAGTTTTCAGACTTTCCAGCTAGAGATTTAACCATTGCACAAGCAGCAGGAAAAAAAAAAAAAAAAAAAAAACAGTACCAAATAAGACTGATTGTAATTACCCAAATAGATCAAGAAGTCATCCTAGAGTATAACCAGTGACTCATCAAGCCAATAGTTTAAAATGAAATTCCAAGCATTTACAAAGAATCAAAATTGAAGCATAAACAACAGAAAATTTGCGAACTAAATATCCCCAGTCTTAAGGTTGCCAAGTTTTCCCACATGAAGTTTTTTCTGCAAAATTACTCAAAATGCAGCCAATTTAGCCATGGCAGAGCTTGGGTAAATCACTTATGTTTTAGAACATGTCTATTGAATAGTTATCCTACTTTTCTATCAACCTACACTTAAAAAGTTCAATAAGAAAACTAGAAAAGAAACATGATTACGACAACAGCTTTCCTCAGTATCATGATGTCATGAGGGGTGCAACTGAACCGTGAACCTAAATTCCAAACAGACCGGTAGTACCGGTTTTTGGAAAACTGGTAACCGAAACCGAACCAAAGCAGATCAGTTGATCAGTTCGGTTAACCGTCGGTTTTTGTTTTTATTTTTTTGACTTTATAAAATATATTTTAAATAAATATATAATAAAAATTAGAAATACATATAAAATTCTATTTTATAAATAATAAATAATATATTATATACTATAAATAATAAAATATATAATATACATAAATATATGTATAATATATACCAGTCGGTTCAGTTAACCGCCAGTTTTTTATATTGGTTAAGCGAAACTGAACCGGTAGCTTCAATTTTTCAAAAAATACCGAAATGGTTAACCAAAATTTTCGGTTTGGTTTTTCAGTTTTTCTTGCTTGTCATCCTCTTCAAGACATTAAGGGCTGAGCTGACCTTAGTATATAAGTTTAGGATGGGACTGCTATCATCAGGCACTGATAGGATATATATTAAAACTCTAGCATCAGGTATTTAGATCCTATGAAATAAGATATAAAATTCCAATACATTAATGTTTTGTGAAACATAAGACTATAATCCAGTATGAAGCATAACCCATCTCAACATCCCAACTAAAAGCAGATTCAGCCACAGAAGATCTTCTATTGCCATCTCAACGACTCCATGGCTTTTCCGCAAATAAAATTTAAATGTGTAGTTGATGTATGATATTACTAGTAAATGTATGAATAAACCAAGTAAAATGGCAAGAATAAACTTGCATATTGCTAGTAAATGTATGACCATACCATGTCTTATCTCCAAATGGACTGAAAGCTCGGAGTTGGATATCCAAGTCATTTAATTGTAAGAGTAACCAACACAAGTATGATGCTACTTTGCTAAAGTTACGTGGTATTAATTCTATAAACAAGCCTCAGTGTTATGGACCTAAGAAATTTATGTTTATACAGAAGGCCTGAGAATTAGAAAGTGTACTTGGTACATCATCTAGCAGACTCAAGAAAGAGAGTGTAATTAATACAATGTTATTTTTATACTTGGAATAGTATTCTGCATTACCTAACTATCTTTTGAAAATAGTTTAATTTGGTTCTGGCAACACAACTTAGACCAGAAATAGAAACACTTAACATACTCATGCAGTAGATGTACATCGAACCTGTGATGCTAATTGTAATCACCAAATACAACCCTTTGATATGGTGATTTTATCTTTAAAATATTCCAGCACATGTTATAACAATAAACAAGCATCATTTTAGAATATGCTTCAGGACTCAACAAATGCAAAAGCTTTTTCTCATGATCTACTTTCCTGCATTAGGAACCCAAAGGGCATAAACAAACAAAAGTAGTGAATAGTATTAAAAAAATTACTCAAGTGTTATAAAGAAGGGAATGCCACATCAGCATGAAGTTTTTATTCTTTTTTCCAGGGGTGGAGGAAGGTGGAAAGATAGAGAGGAGGGGGAAGCATACCCCCTCAAGCAACTTCCCTAAGAAACATGCGATGTATTGATGTGTATTGTCAATACTCAATATGCATCATATATTGCAATGACTTGCTCTACTTTTAGAAATTCGTGTACAAACACCTTCCCTTGACATATGGAAAGGGAATTTTGGAAGGCAATAATATAAAACACCCAAAATTAGGGATTATTTTCTCCTTATTTCCTATATCTCTCTCTTTTCTCCCCCTAAACCCATGTGTTTTTTCCCCACAGTGATGGTGCAGATATGACAACTTTGAATCTAACAGCTAACCTACAGAAAAGTAATGTAATTAGTGCTAGATGGCTTGCCCATATTTTGTATACTCTGATGTAGAAAAATACTAATGGAAAATACATATAAAGCAAAGTGCATATGACATGGAAAAAATCTGTAGAGCTTAATTAATCATGTATATTTGCTATAAATCTTGCCAGCACCTAGGGCTAGATTCTGCAACTTTTTTCCTGCGTTTTTAAAACCAATTTGCATTCTACAGTCAAAGAATTTCAAATAAACCAGTTAAGACTGATTCTCAGATGGCCATTACCCAATGTTGGTCCCAGCTATATCAGCTATATGGGGTCTTGGGAGGGGTCGACTGGATATAGACCTAACATTTGGCATTTTTTCTGCCACAATGTGGCTGCTTATAGCTCAAATCCATGTTCCCACACTTGTCAACCTGAGATTTCACCATTACACCAAGCAATGGCCCCCCAGATAGAATATTTAATTTGATGCCCTAAAATACTTGGACTATCATAAGAGGAAAATCAACCAAGTTAATACCAATTTATGGTAGATATTCCTGTCTAAGCCCATGATCATTAGAGTTTGGCAAAGTTTTAAATGCCAACTGCCAACTTGATGCAACCCTCCTTTACCCGGGATTGGGATCAGCAGGAATGGTGAAAGAGGATTCATGTAGCCGACCCCATATAATTGGGATGGCTTGGGGATGATGATGATGATGATTCCCGTTTAAGCCCAATCTCCAACAGCTAATTGACAGGAAAAGCCTGAACTACAGAAAAAGAAAAAGTAACACGTGAACACAAGTAAGTGGCAGACATCAAAGACATTCCATGCCAATAATCAGATCCAAACGCAATAAATTTCTAAAATTCCTAAAAAAACCCTATCAATTAGTGAACAAAAATCAAGCACCAGAGTAGAGAATGGGAAAAAGGCTGCCAATGGCAAGTAAAGTTATACTTCCATTATCCTTCTACCCACAAAGTATAACCTATTTCACAAAGATTCTTTTTGGGATAATAAGTAACTTATTTCACAAACATTAACGGCATATAAAGAATATCAGTTCTATGTTTTTCTAATTAAACCATAATTCTTTCAAGAAGGATTCAAGCTAATTGCAACTCTTTCTCTACAATAGATAATGTAGATTTTATGGACATGAACTCACAATAAGAACTATTCTCTAAGGAATGCTGAATCACATAAATCACTTCAACCCATTTCAAAGCCATCCAAAAACAAAAACAAAAAGAAAGAGAAATAGAAGGCAAGAAAGAAAAAGGAGAAGATATGAAAGTACAGAAGTTCACCTGATGTTTACACCATAGTTGGAGATGGGGGAAGAGATATTCTTGGACACCCATTTCTCAGCTGCCTTCATACTGCCAGCAATAGTGGCCAGCATGTCATTGGGTATCCCCACCATCACCTCAATCCCACTCTTACCAAGAGCTTTCAGTGCCCCTGAATCTGCATCAAAGAGCTTCACCTTCTGAAATCCATTATCCCTGAGCAGCCTCACAACCGTTTCAGGCGGCAAAGGGTGGGTTGACTGTGTACCCCAGTTAGCACCAATACCACTTACTGACACAACCAAAGATAACAAGGAAACCACCCCAAACACCAGAGATACACACCCCATAATAATCCCTGAAACCCACCTCCAACTCCAAAACAGCTTCACTGCAGCGTGGAAACCAAGTAGGCACCAAAGTGGGTTTAACTTACAACTTATATCCAAACAAGACCTAGCCCTTCTCGTCTCTGTCCTTGGATTACCGCCAAAGTATACCTCTAACAGCCAGAGAAGATGGTCTCAAATCTACTTATTGATTCGGCAGCAAGTAAGTGAGCAACAAGTTAAAGATAACTGAAGTAAGGTCGGACGCTAAAGCTGAGCTAGGCAAGGAAAACAAGTGACAAACAGACTCTGAACTTCAAAGCAGGACGATACCCACATCTCAGATGGTGCATGGTGGACGAAAATGCATATATAGAAAGAACAATTAAAAGAAAAGAAAACTTCTTGTAGGAAATATGAAAAAATTTCTGCAAGACCACTTGAATTTTGTTCTACGGTTTAAAACCAGCCAATAAACACAAGAAGCTGAAGAGAAGTGGAAGTGGGGAAGGGGGAGGGGGAGGGAAAAGGACGCCAAGTTTGGATTTTGTAAAGGTGCTGAGAGTCGAGTTGGGTTTTGAACCAGCTGATACCTTCAAGAGCAGAGCTATTAACTGACACTCCAAAGGGAGAGAAACAGAGCTCTGAGAAACCAAAACACATAAAACTTAAAGAGATCTGATAAAAGCGCAGTTGTTGTAGGAATGAAGCTAAGGATCTTGTGTTGGAGTAGAAGCTGAGCTCAAGAATCCACCATAATTAGTGAGATAAAATAAAATTACAATTAATAAAATAAAGGATCACAGAGGAATAATCAATAAAGTGCTCAGTTAACTAGCCAAGTATTGGGAAATATTAAAATAGTTTTAAATTATTATTTTATTTTTTTCCCTTATTTTTCTGTCTGGAACTGGGCTTGTTGGCATCTTCTGCAACATAAAGTCGTAAAGTACACAGACTGGCACTTACACTTGACGGAAATCTAACGACATGCAAACACCGTTTGGATTTTTTTATGCCGTCAGTTAACGGCTTTCTCTGGAAGCCGAACAGGAGTTCCGATGATACGGTGTCTGCAAACACGACATGGTATGATCATCTTTTGAAAAAAAAGAAGGAATGCTCTTTAGACGGTTGATAACAAAGCCACGTCGCCCATAAAATACAAATAAAAGTTCCCACAATTTCATGAGAATAAAAAACCGAAAAAGCAAATTGATCAATACCACCTCATTGATCATAAGTTTTTCCACTGTCATATTCTTGAATAAAAGAATAAACCTTCCCTAATCACGGGTGTAAATTAATCGAATTCGAATCTGATTAAAAAATTTGATATTCGAATTCGATTCGATATCTCATGAATATTAAAAATTAAATTTAAATTCAATTAAATATTTGAATATTTTAATTTTTAACTAATTAATAAATATATAAAATAAATATTTTATTCATATAAAATATATAAATTATTTATATAATTTAACAATTATATATATAAATTATATAAAACTTTTAAATATTATATATAAGAATTAAATAATCAATCAAATTCGAATATTTATCAAAACAAATCAGATTATATCCAAATTCAACCGATTAGATTTTCGAATACAGTTGACACCCTACCCCTAATGTTTCACTTAAATACTGAAACATCTTCAAACTTTTTAAATTGGAACCTCCACTATGAGTGATGTCATCACATAAAAACCTTCCATCCGTTTGGTTGCTCCATTCATTTCTTTTAGCATATGAAATTATGTGTGGTTTAAGTTTTCTAAAAAATCCAATTTTGTCCTTAGAGAAAACTTTCTCCTTTTCAGTGTGTGACTTATGTCTAATGTGAGCAAAAACCTCTCCTTTCCTACACCTTCTTCTATAAAAAAATGTAAAAAGAAAAACAAGATAATGACCAAAGATGCCGATTGACATCATCCATGGTCAGGCTGACTAGCACTCTATAGATGCGGATATACAGCTAATTCCCCAACTTTCTTTTTAGGCAAAATTTACAAAAACAATCAAAATATAATCACACCCAGAACATATTCCGATTTCCTCATAGATAAAGAACTGATTTTTTATTTTTTGGAAAACTAAAAAAAAATCACAACAGATTCGGATTTCCCCATATGGCTTCTTTATAAAAGAATTGATAATGAACTCACCTATCTTTCCTTAGAAAAAAAACTGATTTTTCTGGTGGAAAACTAAAAAAAAATCAGAACAACTTATGATTTTTCCATATGATTTCCTAGTAAAAGAACTGATAATTAATCCATCTTTGGTAAGAGAAACCCAGCAATAATATAAACATCAGTCAAGTTTTCACTATTCTAATGTCGAAGGTGATGGGGTTTTTTCTCTAAATTAACTAGACCCATTAAATCCCAAATTTAATGCAGGGTTGTATTAGTCATTCCTAATTCTTCAGTTACAAAAAACGGTTTATGATTTTGACAGGGAAGGTTTAAGTCTAATAGAATCTAAGGAGAGGTACAAGTCTTTTACCCCATTTTTTTTTTATATTATAATTGAAGAAAGACATGGTAGGAAGAGATTTAATCAATTAAAGCACTTTCATGAATTTTGATCAATACCACTTGATTGGTCATAATTTTTTTCAGTATCATATTTTTATATTATAATTGGATCCATATTATATATTTATAATATATTATAATATAAAAATTAAAAAATTAAAAAGTTAATATGCCCACCTGGGCACCCAAATGACAATTTACAAACGATTTAGATTCAATGAACACCACCTTAATGCTTGATCTAATCAACGACCCAACAATCACAAGCAAATGGAACTGGGATTCCGGTCCAACCGTCCAACGTTCTGTTCTCTTTTATCTCTACTCTAGCATCATTATTAAACGGGTGAAGTTTCCTTATTAGACATGGCAGCTTATAGAAAGCTGTTGACTGTTGTAAGTTCTGAATCGAATCCATTAGCCAAAACTATTTTAGGATATTTCTCTGGGGTTGTCTGTGGACTCTGTTTGTGAACTACCACTCTCCACAACATTTGAGAATATCTTCTACTCATAAATGATTATATGTAAATACGGAAGATATTCGAAATGTACAGTTATAGTGTAATAGATGTGGGTAGGATCGTTGCTTGTGGATAGGAGAACTAAGCTGATACGTGCATGCATGCAGCAGCCGAAGACCCGGTCAAAGTGGATAGCAGCAGAAGACCCGGTCATGTTAGCTCTTAGTTGGGATAAGCCTTATCCATTCAGTTTTAATTCT